ATCAATTACCAGTGTCTGATGGGTATACTGAGGAGGAGGAAGAGTCCCAAACAAGGACGAAACAGATTCCCAGTACCACCTGGTTTACCAATGATTCTCTAACTAAAGTCAAACAAATCCCTGCAAACCAACAATTGAAAGTGAGATTGTTGTAAACGAATTAGACAGAACACTGTGAAACTAAAGACTGACCAGAAAGTTGAAAAAAGCATTCATTTACACAAAACGTCCTCTAAACTGATAACTTAAACACTAATTATACTATCTATACACAAACGTGCATAATTCCTGATATGTAGGAAAACAACATTAATGCATTGAAATTTTTGTAACAATTCATGAATTCAATGTCCAGATAGCTGGGTGGTCAACGAGCTTAACTTCGTAGCCTGAATATTTCGGGTTCAATCGCTGATGGAATCTTAGATACATACTGATGAAGAATCCCAAACTAGGACGAAACAACTGTTCAGTACATCGTGGTTTTAGCACGTCGCCTAGTTTACTAGCTGGTCTTAACCCTGGAAAATTGACCGAATCGTTACAGAAACTTCAATGCACAGAATATATGCTCAGCAGAATTGACCAACACTCTCAATCAATGCAACTCTCTCTCTCAAAAAGAGTAATTTAGGCTGCTGCCAAGAGTTCAGAATGTCAGTATGAACTTGTCAGATATGAAGTGCATGGAGGATTTCATCATGAGCTGACATCAGCTAGAGAACCAATGGAAAACCTGGGAGTACTGGACAGCTGTTTCGTCCTAGTTTTGGACTCTTCATCAGTACACACCCAGCTCCAAAATCCCTACAAAACCAATACTTGAAGTTGTGATTCAATGCATTACAGAGACAAAATAATGCAAAAATGGCTTACGGGTCAGTTATAATTGTAAAATTCACCTAAATCTAAGACGCTACAATAAGTACAAGAGGTAACGATCCCAATTACCAGTAACATACTTCTAAATAATAGTAATAATAATAATAAGTTAAGTACAATTGAAGAAAATTAGCATTAACTAAACATACAAAAAATAAGTGGGTACTTTTAACTTACCACAATAACGTTTGTACTCGCCAAATGTTTTGAGACTAACAACCGGTTCATCTATGTTTTTAGACAAGGTTACTAACGCATATTTATATAGCCGGTGGAGAATGGGTTTACCACCTTTGGTGAAAAGTATACAAATCAGAAAATGGAAAGGGGGCTACAGATTGGTTGAGTCATCATCATTGAATGAATACCATTCAACCAAGTGTACATAAAATATATTTATTTACTCTCACACCACATCACATCACCTTCAACTGTGCAACCAATATAAACCAATCGCCTGCGTTAAACTGCCTCACTCCCCCCACCACCACCTCCCCCCCTATGATTGTCACACACGCACACACATATCTCTACACAAATATACACAAAATAAATAGTTAGTTAATGTCGAATGAGATGTTGGGCTATTATCTAGCATAAGTCATCATAAAGGCATGCGTCAAACAAAATCTGACCTAAAGACAATTGAAGAGAGAGAGAGAGAGAGAGTTATGTGCTGATTCATACTGATAATGGTGAATAATAATCATAACATGAATGAAGCAGGTGACGATCAGATCAATGGCACGCATCAGTTTGTCTAATTTCTTTTCAGTAAAAAATAGGGTTTAACTGCATCATACAGAGAACCCAATAGAAAAGAAATAATGACTGTCACTTAACTATAGTTAGCTAGTTAGTTATCAATGATGACTCAGCATAAACGAGTTATAATGACCAATCTCAACTAGAAAGACACATGAAGTTGTTTCTCACATTCCGGCTATTATTGTGCTTAAAAGAGTGAACTAAGCGAAAGATGACTTGTTATGTTAGAGGATTGAATCAAGTTATCCAGTTTGATTTTGATTATAGCTTGAAACCACACAGTATTTTTGGTACAGGTATGGAATTTTCAGCATGTGATATCGGTAGCCCAAATTTTGCAGGCCGACCATAGATATCAGGTGTGCGTTGGCAGGGGGTCGAACCCTGGACCATGTGCATGGTCGGCGAGAGTCCTAACCGCTGTGCCACCGACGCACATTCATGATTACTGATTGAAAAGACTTAAATAATGAACCCTAATACCGTACAGTGAGTAACCTATACCACATAAAGAGCAGTGTTAGTTTCTAATGTACATCAAATTCCCATTGACTAATTCATAATATTACGGAGCTAATTGTGGTAGAGTACTTATTCCCCTCACTTGTTGACCGTGTGTTGTGTGTGTACAAAGTAAGCACAGATGACATCGTATCAAACAAACGATACAACTTTCTGCAGTTTAAGTAAATCCCAATTCAAAAGGGGCAATTGCTGTTTAAAGTTAATAAGTACCATATCGTTTTAGATATGATGAATTGATTGGATATTTAAGTACTTTAAATTAGGATTTCATGAGCTGAAAGAACATGGAAAACCTGGGAGTACTGGACAGCTGTTTCGTCTTAGTTTGGGACTCTTCATCAGTGCGCACCCACGGGTTCAACCCAGGACCTTCTGGTTACTAGGCGAGCTCGTACACCATTAAGCCACTGGGACCCGATCCAATGGCCCATGAATTCTAACTTCTGCCAATTCATGACATAGCGCGACCCCTAGCCATTGTCTTCGGCGAGTATTTGTCCTCACACCCGACTTGCTGCACCCTACTGGTCACGACTTCTCACTAGAACCCCAGGTAACTACCTACCTAAATAGGGCAATAGTTGCTTAAAGTGAACGAGCTCTTAAGAGGATTCATCTATATATATCTGTACTTCTGAAAGATTCATCTCATCTGTTAACTCATAGTTGAAGCATGAACATTTTTAAGAAATTGTCATAAAGTTTAGGAATGGACAAATAAGATGGGCACATTAATGATTTACTAACTCAGATACCAATTTCATAGGGAGTGGCAGTTGCTCAACAAATGAATGGCTCACTTATTTACCGTCTAACCTCTATACCTAAAATCACTATCAATATTTTTATTATTCCTTTGTGCTCCGAGTGAACATAAGCCTTCAACAATACATCTCCACTTTGTTCTATTTTCTACTGTCCTCTTCAGCTGGCCCCACGATCGCCCATAATCTTTTATCTCCTCCTCACCACATGTTCTCCTCCCCATACCCAACTCGTCGTTTCTCATTCTGGCTCAATTCCAGTGGTGGTCTGTATTGTGAGGGATGTCAGTCGACGGTCTCTTCAGTATGTGACCTATCCATCTACATTTTCTCCTACATATTTGTTGAACGATAGGTTCTTGGTTTGTTTGTTGCCAGCAATAGTTTCTCGTCACTAATTCTTTCTGGCCAGCCCGCCGGCCATTTCATCTTCAATATAGAGCCAGAGTAGGAGGCAGTTGTTGATAAAAGTAGTTTGCAGTAACCTGTTGGAAATGCTTTATGTGACACGCACACTAAGTTTCTAACCCATTTAGAAGAACTGACTGACTCCACATTCGTGTTGAAATCTGAATCTTTCTCTTTATTCTGCTGAGTGCAGAAGATTTCCAAACTAATTTCAGATTGATGAAGGTGTACCTCACCTTTCTAATCCTGAGTGGCTTTGACATTTTCATCCGTTCCGACTACCTGTGGTTGAAACAATGCTGCATTGCTAGATAAGTGAAGGAAGTAACCTCCTTCAAACTTATTCCGTTGATAGTGATTGGAGATGGTTGTTGTTGCTGTCGCTGCTGTTTGGTTATTTTCATCACTTCCGTCTTCTCTATCTCCACCTGGAGTCATGTCTTCGCTGCTGGCCAGCTTCTTCTGCCAGTTTGTTGGTTTTCGCCTGCTTGCAAGTCTTCGAGTCTCTGTGAGTGACATTAAACATAAATCATCCACACACACGAAATCCACATCTTCTAGAGTCTTCTTATCGGTCAGTGCAGCGTATTCCTGTCTTCTCAATACCCAAGCACAGTCTGACGAATAATTCAGTCCGTCACAATTAGGAATATCACTGGTGATAATAGGCAGTCACTTTTATCTTACTCTTGTATTCACTTCAGACTCCTCACTAAGTTTTCCATCGTGAATCACCTGACATTGTGCCATTGGAGCTATGGAAATGTACTATATATATATTATATATATATGCGATTGTACAGCTTGAGAATGATAACGCTAAGAAAGCTGCTGCAAACTACTAAAATCCATATGTGTTGTTTTTGTTTCGTAGTGGATATATGACAGTAGTTTAGGTCAATACAACGCATGGCTAACCATTAATAGATAGGAAGGCAATAGATTTTAAAAAAGTGATATCATATATCTTCAGTATTGAATAGAAACTTCTCAGTCAAATGGCTCATTCAATAACATGACTAACGCAGTGTTTCATAGAGCTTAGCACACATACTGAAACAATTGCAACAATGTAGGATTTTTTAGTCTAACGCTAACCTAAGCTATAAAGAAGGGTAACGCCTATAACGTCTCTGTAGTTCAGATAAATGCCAAAATTAAAGTGTGTGTGTTGTGAAGTGAATGAAAATATATACAATTCAGTCGCAAAACACGCATGTGGTTCGGGGTTCGACCCCCGGCCAACTCACTCCTAAACCTCGCTAAGCTAGTAATAAGACTGGTTGGTAAAGAGGGAAGGTTGAGCATGAAGCTAGCAACCCCATCCCGTAAAAAGTAAGCACCACTGCTGCTACTGAAACTTCAAAGCTCTAGCTTGAATAAAAAAAGTCATCCAACTCATATTTTACATGTGGTAGGGGTTATGAACGTACCCCGTAAGCCCTGGACGAAGTGAAGCAGGGTTTAGAACCCCCTAGATGAAGGAGAAATGCCTAAACTAATAAGGGACTTTCCTTTAACCTAGTGAAAAATACATACTACTAAAGATAACAAAAATCCAGAAGAATGAGATGATATTCACAGAAAACGCTGTATACGTACAAAATAGAAATCACGAAACGTTTATGATATTCGTAATCCAACTCTACTCACCTCATAGTGTCGGTGATTCAGTGATAGAATGAATGCTCGCCAACTACGCAAATTGTCCGCGGTTCGGATGCCAGCCAACACACATCACATACACACACTTAAACCTCACTTAGCCGGTAGTACGCCCGGTTAAGAATGAAGGATGTGTGCAGCTAGCAACCCCTGCTCTGACACCACCGGCCACTGGAACTTCACGGTTGAAGAAGCTTGGAGCCTTATATTGTTCCACTTGGAACGTAAAGGAATAAAAAAACACAACTCACCCCATATGCAAGAACAACAATGGGCTAATCAAAAGGGCATAATCAGCCAATCGGAGAAGAACTACTAATGCTCTACAGTTCAGGCTACATTTTTAATTACTGCCAGCCCACACTCAGAGTAAATATGAATGAGACAACATGTTTGCATGTATACATGTGTATGTGTAGTTTGCATTTCCATACTTCAACTGTATTAATACAAACATGTAAAGATGGAGTACGGTTCTCTGTTGTTATGCATGATATCACGCAGGTAAAACTGTGTTTATACATGATTCGTTTTTACCTTTTTTTCGGTTCCGAATCATTGCCACACAAAACTGTAACACACACTTTTGGATAAAGAATTGTAAAACATTGTGAAATCTGGGAAATATCAAAATATACATATTATAAACATTTGTTGAACTGCTCTGTTGAGACGAGTGTACACAACTCTAAGGAATGTGAAGAAAAAATAATGCAATAACACACTTTAGCGTTATTTTTATACATTGCAACAGTGAAATATGAGTCTAAAAAAACACAAAAAAGAGACACAATAAAATATAAATGATAAATAATGCATGAAATAGGAAATATTTTACAATTTAAAAAGAAAAAAAAAAACTTCAGTTCCCTTGATTTGAGATAGAAACTGAATCTGATTATATCATCATGTAGGTTGATTCTGAACGCCTGCCTCTCAACTCATCCGAAAATACCAACTTATATGGATGGCTACAGACACCACAATATAATGTATACACTTAAAATTCGTAGGATTTCAGTATTTCTCATCTATTGGTTCTACTATACTCCTACTGCACTGACTAACTAATGTAACCTTCTTCTTCGTCGATTGTATAGTGATAGGTGCCTCCGCCTGCAATGTGGAAGACCTAAGTCCACCTCCCGGTAGTCGGGCAGTCAGTGAGTCGGTAGGTTCATGGTTAGAATGCTCGCTATCCACGCTCACGTGTTCTGGCTTCGATTCTCTACCGACTCATCCTCTTAAACCTCTCCTAACCCGTATTAAACCCGGAAAAGTTAGAAGGTTGGCCAAGAGGCTACAGCATTTCATCATGAGCTGACATTGGTTAGAGAACCATTGGAAAACCTGGAAGTACTAGACAACTGTTTCGTCCTAGTTTAGGACTCTTCAACAGTACGCATCCACCGGGATTCGAACCCAGGGCATTGGCTAGAGGTCACGCTATGTCGTGAATTGGCAGAAGTTAGAATTCATGCACTGGCCACTGAATCGGATCCCAGTGGCTCAATGGTCTACGAGCTCGCCTTGTAACCAGAAAGCCCTGGGTTCGAATCCTGTAGTGGGTGCGTACTGTTGAAGAGTCCCAAACTAGGACGAAACAGTTGTCCAGTACTCCCAGGTTTTCCAATGGTTCTCTAACCAATGTCAGCTCATGAAGAAATCCTGTAACCAATCAATCAAATCCCTACAAACCAACACTTGAACTCTTGATAGGCTTTCTTAAATCTATATTAACAAATCTGGGTAAAAGTGAAAAGGTTGAAGTGATATGCACAAAAGTATTCTTTTCAAAAGAATCCTCCTGTCCAGTATCTTTTTATCATTATCAATCCAACATGATTGTAATTTCATACAAGAATTCCTTTTCATAAATTTGAGCAGAGAAAGAAGAAACACTGGTGTAGAATAACATGGATCCATTGTATTTCGTTGGTTCTCATCAGCTGTATGCAACCTATAATCTCTGATAAATAAAAGTCAGTGTAAAATTTAACATACTTCTGTCATCAATAAGCATATTAGAAGAGTGTCATGGTGGCTGAAGTATAAGCATATATATATATCTTGTTAGAGAGTAGTTTCTAGGACATTAATAGACAAGTTTGTTGTCAGGATGGTAACAAAAATCAGTGATAATTACATAATTCAATAAGAGAAAACCGAAACTCGGTGTGCAAGAGGTCAGATGAAAAGATGATGATGACGTAATATCATTAAAAGTCAAGAATTATCTTTTTATGGAAGTCAAACGGAAAAAAAACGAGGCCAGGGGGCGCGTTGAAAAGATAAGTTCATGAAATTAGAAGACCAAGAGTTATTAACCGAATAGTCACCAGAGTAATTGGAGACATAGGTCAGATTTCAGCCGTTTTATTGCGATAGCCTCAACCTCTGTTTGACTTCCATAAGAGGCAATTTTTCTTGACCTTATGAGTTCTACTCACCATATTACATTATCATCTTTTCATCTGACCTCTTGCACACCACTCTTTGATCTTCTCTTATCTTAATGAAAACAAAAAATATAATTGAGAAAAAAGAGTCTCTTTTCGGTGAATTCATTCACTTAGCTATACAATCGCAATTATATATACTTATCTTTGTATATGTATGTATACCTAACGTACACCGAAAAGAGACTCTTCTCTTATCTAACTATGTTACCACACTAACAACAAACTTGTCAATTAATTTTCTAGAAACTTCTCTCTAACAAGATACTTACACTTCAGCTACCTTGTCATCCTGATGTTTTATCTCACCATGACACTCCTCTAATATGCTTGTTGATGACAAAAGTATGTTAAATTTTACACTGACTTTTATTTATCAGAGATTATAGGTTGCATACAGCTGACGAGAACCAACGAAATACAATGGATCCATGTATTGGTTTGTAGGGATTTGGTTGATTGGTTACAGGATTTCATCATAAGCTGACATTGGTTAGAGAACCATTGGAAAACCTGCAGGGAGTACTGGACAGCTGTTTCGTCCGAAGACATTGGCTAGCGGTTGCGCTATATCGTGAATTGGCAGAAGTTAGAATTCATGACTGGCCATTGGATCGGGTCCCAGTGGCTCAATGGTCTACGAGCTCGCCTTGTAACCAGAAGGTCCTGCGTTCGAACCCCGGTGGGTGTGTACTGCTGAAGAGTCCCAGACCAGGACAAAACAGCTGTCCAGTACTCCCCAGGTTTTCCAATGGTTCTCTAACCAATGTCAGCTCATGATGAAATCGTGTAAACAATGGATCCATGTTATTCTGCACCAATGTTTGTTGTTTACTCTGCCCAAATGATTGTAATTGTGAGATAAAATAGTAAACACTGCAATGATGATAATGATAGTGATTAGAAATGAGTGAAAATATGCCTTGCAACTAGACTATCTCTCTCTCTCTCTCTGTCTCTAATCGTTCAGGCCGAATAGTTAAACCTACTAACTACTACTTTAACTATACTCTTATACACTAACTTCCTCACTTAGCTGTTGATAAATCTGGCAAAGAGGGAAGGTTGGGTGTGAGACCGCTACTACCGAAGCTTTAAAGCTCTAGCTTGTAGCCCTATCTTCCACTGGGAACGCAAAGGAATAAAAACAAAAACAATAACTTCTAATTAAAACATACTGTTATACATGCATCAGAAAAAATATATATCGTGTCCTACTTCAGCGTGGATAACTGGGCAGTATTTATTTTAATTTTATTAAAACATAAACTTCGTAAACTATAGACACCAAGCAATGTACCATACAAAATGTCACCGTTTTTGACACGACTGAGATACTGTTCAGAAGCCTAAAATGAATCAGGTGGTTGTTTTAAGGGGCCATAGCCCATCCAAACATTTCACTTGAAGTCTGATCCACAAAGAAATGAAAAAAGCGTCAGCAGTTACGCTCATCACAAAGATCCTAGTGACCAAAACAGATTCATTCATATGCTATTCAATCCCTTCGGATTCTGCGGATAATTTACACTATAAGTTTGGAATGAAGGTTTCCCAGCTCCGTCACTCTCGTGACCAACACCCAGTTTGGGGACTTACCTGGTAGAGGCTATGAACAACGCATGGCAACATGAGGAGCATTTCGAGAGGGAGACCGAAGTCTACCCACCCTCGACCGCACCATGTCATTTATGGCGGGGGGTGGGAGTACTGGGTAGTACCATCAGCCCTCATACAATAAGTGTGGCTCTTCCAGATAATTTAGCTTGAATAATCAAACAAACAACACATATCCTTCTAGCTTTAAACAAAACCGTCTTGTTTTGATAACATTTAAATGCAAAATCAACAATTAATTTCAACCTGATAAAAATGTCACTACCTTTTTTTCCTTCTTTAAAACCCCAAAAAATGTTCAGATATTCTTCAAATAAAACAAGGCAAAATGCTACAGAGATAAGTGCAGTTTTGAAAACGAGAAATAGCCTGCCGAACCAGATTAGAATTGTAGATTACTGTATTTCGGTGTTCTATTTAAACGTTGGTTAACATGTTACGTAATGTCTACTCTCAGACATAATCTACATTCAACTACTCCTGCTTGATAATTCTAGTCAAAACTAGTAGTGTTAAAACATCACCTGAGATTTTGAATTTTACCCAATATCTCCATTTCAAAACCAAAAAAACAGAGGCTGTCTAATGGACAAATCATCACTTTGACTGCTTGATTCCTACTGACTTAACGCGGGACAAGAGAACTTGGTATGGAGCACAGAGTTATTACATCACAAAGTATAGGAAATCAAGTAATTCTGCATCAAAAACACTCAGTCATTGAAACAAGTTTACAGACTGTTTAAACTTAATGTGACAAAGAATTCAATTACATATTTTAGGAAAGAACACCCACCGTCAGTTTAAAGGTTGTATGCCTCACAGTCTGATGACTATCAAGACTTATCTTTCCTTTTCAATTGTTACTCTAGCAGAGAAATAGTTTTCAAAACCATACAAATGCTGTTTTAAATCACAAAATCACAAAATGCAGACATAGAAATCAATGTGTGTGTTGTATCACCCCTGCTGAAATAATTATTTCATATGAAGACCAAAAATAAAATATCTCTGACAATTGTGATTGTGATTGCAATTGATTCTAGATGTGTTGGGGGATAAAAACTCCAAATGATAAAGATAACCACCGCTCAGTGTATATTGTACAACATTATATCACAACTTCTGCGCTCGTTTTTACCGCAAAATTGTCATTCATTTTGATGGGCTTATCAACGTGTATACACACACACATACCTCTTCATTTAAGGAGCATTACCTCTAAAAAATATCGATTTTCTTAATTCAACTTATAAATTCATTTTAAAGAGTTCATTTGTTAGGATTTGATTCGTTTTATCAAGTTACACCATGAATTGAAATCCGTTAGAGAACCATTGAAAACCAACCACAGGGAGTACTGGACAGCTGTTTCGTCAGCCTAGTTTGGGACTCATTGGCAGTACGCACCCACCTCTGGGGTTCGAACCTAGGACCTTCCAGTTACACGACAAGCTCGTATACCATTCAGCCACTGAGACCCGATTCAATCCGTGGTCTAACTCGGAAAACAAATCAACTCTTGAAAATTAATCTGATGCTCACTAATGACTCTCTACAAGACGGAGTTTCCTGGAGTTCTAGTGAGAAGTCGTGACCAGTGGGGTCCATCCTATCGGGAGTGAAGATGGATTTCCCACCGATGACATTGTCTAGTGGTCGCGCTAAAATCACAAATGGGTAGAAGTTA